AAATATTACTTAATTTTGCAAAACCAATATGTATATACATTTACTTTGTGTCCCATCAATTTAACTAATACTTGTGCCCCAATACTATAAAACGCTAGAATTATAAGAATAGTTCTGAACTTATGATTATCGCTAGTTTTATTGTTTAATAAATACAGTCCGATTCAAAGATTTGGTTTATCTTTCGGGTCGCTTATTATAGTTAAGTATTATTAAGTTGGAAAGGAATGGGGGCAATGTAAGTCCAATTTTTGTAATCGTGTGTCTGCTAATTTGGAATATATCTTTAACATAGCAAGATTCCTGTATCGGAATTAATTGTCTGAAATTAGAGCTGATACGAGTATAGGGAAAAATGTATTAATTTGTATCAAATTAATGGGAATTGTGACTTAACGAGATAAAAAAAAACCGCGGTTAATTAATGCTTGTATCCATGTTATAAAGAAAGTGATAAGATTCTATACTAAAATAATTTACTTACAATAAGGACTAGAGTCGCATGAATTATGTCAATCATATGCGTAGGTAATACTGATAAGTTCATCCAAATAGTTAACGAGGGATATTCAAAAAACACGCTTGGCCATCTTAATGTTAGGACACTTAATGTTAGCAGACTTAATGTTAGGTGTTTTTTTTAATAATCAATTGTGTGTGCTATAAGCCACTCCAAGCTTGTATTGATGGAATAAAAGTTATTTTACATATATGCTTCAGAAATTATTGTAGAGACTATATGTAAAGCGTCGAATTATAGGACTTGCGGCAAAATAATAATTTCATAAAAGCAATTTTCTATCATGAAATTAGAACTATTTCATGAATAACCCTCGGTAATAACTATTCACGTTTTTGCTAATGTGAGCAAATGTATCTACATTAATTTTTCATCGAAAATTACAAATATTTTACTCATTATTGTTACCTGCTTTGCATTACTACTTTAAATACTTGGAAAATCGGCTTTGGTGCGAATCTGTATTATGTTGTATGTTAATATAATGTCTCTTTTCTTTTACGTATTCATTTGCTCACTTAACAGAATAATACCGAACAAAATGTAATTAAATTCACTGAGCCAATTACAGCAAAAATATTTTAAAACTTTAACTAATACACACTAAAAATAAATACAATTTTACTAAAGCAGTCATACAATACTAAACTAGACATTTTGAGATTGAAAGATTCTATAAATTAATTACCGCTCAGTATGTTCCAGATAACTATTGATTTACGATACATATCATTTTTTCTTAACAGGGATTTGATTGATGTTTAATAGAAAATCTGGTACTGAAAGGCCGCATAGTCTATAATGTAGCAACCAACAACGTAACTTCCTAATCTAATGTAGTTAAAACATGTGGTTTTTTAAATGGAAAATTGCAATGAAGATAAATCGCCAGGGCCTCAAAATTCATCTAGTGGTTGAGTTGATTACATTTTACTTGTAATCAAACAGCAAGTCAGGATAGTTGTTCGTTTCAATGCGATCGTCTCTGATATCTCCCTGATCTTCTTCGGACTGGTTAAGCAGTGTCTCGAGTAGTCGGGATTCAGATCTACGTTTGCGACCACTGAAAAAAAAATAGGAAAATTTTACATCGAGAACCGGAATTTTTAAAGTAGATGACTATTATAACTCCAATTAAATAAATAAGCTTCTGCTTTAACTGCATTTTAGTCAGCAATAGGATAGTTTATTTCCAAAGTTTTAGTATTGCGACATGTTAATTTAATTTATTCATTCTCTTGGCACCACCATTACCTTCCGCCTGGCACTGCACAAGATTTACTTACTTACTAGATATATACTAGCAATTGACTGAAGGCAAACTACTAAAATTTAAAAAATGCACCAGACAAGATGAGAGAAGGCGAATGTTCCTTGCACTGCCTTTCCTGGCACAAACACTAAAATACAACCCATAAAGCAGCAATCATTTATATCAATTTGCGCCTCTGTCATATTCCTGAAGTTAAAACAAGAAAATCTGCCAACTATTGAGTTACAATTTAAAGTAAAATACGTAAATATCAATGGGCTCTGAATAAAACAAATAGCATTTCAAATCAAGCGAAAAGAAATACAATATCCACGGAAGTCTTTATTTTATTAAAAAAAATTGAGGATTGATTTCCCAACAATAATTAGTAAAAGGTGATAAGTAACTATTCAACAACAAGCCGAGAAGTAAATATTAAGGTTGCGATGATACTCTTATTGTTTACTGGAAACCTATCAACCTACTAACCTCTAGTTGGCACTAAACTCGCTCGAATATATTTAGATCGGATTTATTTCGTTCACAAACAACACTAATATGATTTCTTTTCCCCAATAACCCGTGCACTACTCACACACAATAAAATTAGATTTGTAAGTTGAAGGTTGTTAATTTCAATTTACTGAATTGGTGGTTGTTAATTAAGATAACAATTATCGCTAGTCTCTCTTTAATTGCCTCTTTTAGTATTGAGTGCATTCTGATTAATTACATTGTATGAAAAACTTTTCATTCGGATTTATTGTGATCAAAATGTGACTTTAGAGCTAATTATTTGTGTGTGTTAAGTAGGAATACTTACATCAGATCCAAATCCCGGACTCCAGCAGCTATTGGTAACGTGATGACAATCCCTTTTGCTCGATTTAAAGCATGTTTGGTTTGCACATTGGCAAAGTGAGCATCTGAGACCCGTTTAACCCTGAAAATGAATGAAGTTTTATATATGGAGCGGTACATACACTTAGAAACAAAACATCAATATATGAAAAAAAATATGTTTGTTTGAAAAGAACAAAAAGCCACTTAAGTCATAGCTTTGTCCAAATTGAATGTATATTGAAATCAAATTAGACTATTATAAATATAATTAATTTTCAATTGTGAATGAACCTTCGATCCAACCAATCCAAAGCAATTTTTCTAAAGTGATTTTTCTTGAAAATTCCCATCAGGAGACGATTCTTCAATTCAGTATTGACCAATACCGAGGCTCGTTAAATATGCATAGGTTATTGGGATAATTGAAAATTTAATTTCCAATCATATCTGCTCGATTTATTTATATCTTATAGCTCTCGGCCACGCCAGTAAGATTGCCGAAGCAGAAAAATTGGTTTCTTTTCCTTGATTGAACAGTGAAAAGAATTGCCCCGATCCAACAATAGGAAAAGTTCCATTCTTTTAATTTGATTCCTTGATGTACAGCAGAGCGCCTTATAAAATTATAAAACGCGTAGGCAACCATAAATTAACACTTTTCACACCGTGTGTTTAATTTTAACCAAAGCGGAAATTAGTTTTTTAGTAACTCCCAGACAAATACATTTCTTTAAAATACAATTCAAGTTAATAACAAGGAAGTTTCATTTATTTCCCAGTTGAATCCAATTCATTCTTAAAATAGCGTTACATTTCAACTTAAATTTGTTTTATCGACAATCGCAATAATATTCCAGAGTTCTGCAGATTTTCCGACGTTAGGTATTTGCTTTCACAGTGAGCTGTTTACACCTCAGTATTATCAGTAAGAACTAGAACAGAAAGGAGCAATGTTTCCAATGAGAGACCCTTATAATGAGGGTAGTCTAGTAAAACATCATTTCAATAGTGTCTTAAACTTGATAGACGATTGAAATCGTTTCTATTATTCCCGTTAATTCGATAATTTATCAAAATTGTGATAGTTTTAGGAGCATTAAGTCTCCAATTCAGTAAAGCTTTCTTCAAAACTAAATGAAATCTTTCCCACAACAAAATACATATTTTTTGTGACGGATGGATTAAATATTATAAAAATATATGTAATAATATAATGACAATTACAGAAGGGAAATCGGTCAAACAAATGGTGAGTCGCATAAAGAACGCAGAAAAGGTTATGGCTACTCTACTTGCGGAAACAAATAGGTTATAACGGGTTATCCAATTCGAGGTTGGGAAAGTAAAACCTTGCTATTTGATATCTGTCAAAGGTAAACGTCATCCGAAGCGTTTTTGTTTTAGGTGAAGGTTTGCCATTTTGGAATATGGATCGTTTAACTCTCGAATAACGCGTAAAAATTATTAAATGTTACTACAAAAATATCGACTCTGCTGTAATCGACCCGCAGACCACACAATTTCGAACACAGTGGAAAAATGTGAAGAGACTGGATCGGTTACTGATATTGTAAGGCCTGTGCATCATCGCAACATTCGCTCAGCTGAAAATATCGCTGTTGTTGCTAAAAGTGTGGAGGAAGACCCGAATTCGTCGATTCCCCGACGTGCTCAACATTTGGGCTTGTCTTACGGCTCATTGTGGCGAATTTTGCAATTGGAGTTGGAGCTCCATCCGTGCAACGTCCAGCTGACTCAAGAACTTAAGCCTCAAGGCCATGGGCAACGCAGAACATACGCAAATTGGGTGGTTGAACAAGAAAGCCGTTGATGATGTTTGTTCGAACCGAATTTTCTTCAGCGATGAGGCTCATTTTTCGCTCGGTGGTTACGTGGAAAAAAAAACAGGACAGAACAGCCGTATATGGGGCTCTCAAAATCCTCAGGTGATCGCAGAAACGCCTTTGCATCCTGAAAAAGTGACCGTATGGTGTGCATTATGGTCAGGTAGTGTTATTGTATGCCCGTATTTTTTTAAAAACGATCAAAGAAGAGCCATAACAGTCAATTGTGAGCGCTATGGACGCATGTTAACCGATTATTTTTGGAGATAAATTAAAGATTATGATCTGGAACACATGCGGTTCCAGCAGGATGGGGCAACGAGTCACACAACACTGGCAGTTAGAGCCCTATTGCAACATTTCGAGATTGAGTAATGTCAATTGGCCCGCAAGATCCTGCGACTTACGTCAGATTTATTTTTGGGGGCTATGCGAAAGATCGTTTTTACGCCAGCAATCCTCAAACTCTTGAGCTACTGAAAAGCCAATACCCGGGAAGTATGACCGAGATAAAGGTAATGTGCCAAAAAGTCATTCATAATTACCTCAAAAGGATTTAGGCCTGTAGGAATTTCCGTGGAGGACATTTAAATGATATTGTTTTTCACGTGTAATGGCAAGGTTTAATCTTTATATTGATTTAGAATTTTCGTCTGCATCTGAATATTTTGTGTGTTTTTTTTTACTTTACTTTCCCAATGATAAAATGAATAACCATGTATAAACAATAAATCACAGAATCCTTATAGCCCAGTCACTATGGACGAGTTACAGGACATTCAACCGAGGGAAACTTATGTTTGGGTAATAAGAAGAAAGCTTCCTCATCAGTTTTACAACCAAATGTCAACCAAATTCATGTCTCAGTAATGCCGCATTACTGAATAAAAAGCCAGATCAAGTTCGATATAGAAACCTCAGAAGAATATAGAGATTTGACACACATTAAAAATGAAGAAAAGCAATATGGCATTCTTGAATGATGAATGAATGAAAACAAACAAGAGAGACCGATCAGAGTAATGCTCAAAAATCTTCAACTATCCTGTAGCACTGAAGAGCTATTACAGGAGTTGAAAGAAAAAGGCTTTAAAACAGTCAATGTTATAAATAAACTAAAGAGAATCACGAGAAACAATAAGAATATATAAAGTTTCCATTATTTTTAGCAACAAAATACTGAAGACGTCAAAAAGGTATTTGTAATACAATATCTAGCCAACTCGAAAAGTATTCCGTTGGTGTATTGAATGTGGATCTAACCATGGCTCTAACTATGGGCCTACACAACATATCCAGCTGAAAATACTCAGTTTCATAAAAATGGAACGAAAGTCCGAGAAGATTTAATTTATTAGGAAAAAGACTAACAATAAAACAATAAAAAAACGGAAATCGACGTGCAGATGACTCATCCAAAGGGACGACCAAGCAAACAACTATATCATCTCGTTAATTCTGTAGTTAGTTGCCTTCGGGAAGTGGTAAAAGCCTCAATATCGCTTGAGTTTTTTTGGAAAACGTCACTAATTACTCAGTGTGTTACGGGAAGGAAACAAGATACGTCACCAGTTCTTTTGATGATTTGGTGCCAATAAGGGCAGTGCGCTAGATCTTCCGTTATCTGCTAACTGAAAGATTAAAGTTTTCAATTCTGAGTGAATTTTTATTGCTTGTTCAAGTGTAGTATGAGCTTTTTGAGAATGAATTTGCAGATAAAGTTGTTGCGCCAGCTCGAAGAAATCTGGTAAGAATGAATTCTAATCTATACATCCTTTGGCATGAACTTAGTACAACAATTTATTTGAGAAGCTACTGAAGCTGCTGTTATTTTTTATTTGACTTGATCTGGTCTGTTATTTTCAAATAATTAAACTTTTAACTAAGTTTCTGTAATACTAAAGCATGCAATTTTTTTTCCTTTTAGGTGGCACCATGTAGATTTCGGTTTAGTTTAGCATTACTTTGCTCCTGGTTGCCATGTAGATGTAAAGCTTTTAGTCCCATATTATTGACTTATTACGTATTTTCTCATATTGCTGCATGCCATATTTATTCGACAAGGAACGACGAGGGACATTCTGGATTCGTGATTGAATTTTAAAAATGTTTGAATTTTCTTTTTCTAAAATAAATTTAAACTCATATCATACATTAACAAATGAGGTTCTCTACAGAAGACTCTTTTGATATGTACAACTGTTAACGTTCTGCTGTGAACTATACGCTTGATCATACTGATAGGTAATTTGTGTCACTTGCATGTTTTTTCTTCTATAATTACACCCTCAACTGAACTGTTCTTGAATTCTCAATTCGATTTTTTAAATTAAAATTAATTTTCCCACGATTTTCAAAAATTGACTAGCCTAATTCTCTCAAGTGGACTCTTATTTATTATTATCTAAACCTCTAAATTTAAAACACTCTAAATATAAAATTAAAGTCGTTGCTGTAGTGCTGTTAAATACCCTTTATATTGTCATCTAAGGTAATTATGCACATTATAAGTAATCAGTCAATTCTGTTTTTTTTTTGGTATTTGTTATGTTCCGGCCGATCTGGATCTCGTAGCGTTTTTTTTTGCAGTAATGCCTTCTACTATGACTGATCGATGCTGGCAAGTCCACCATTCTCCCATTAGGTAGTATAAGCAGATACAAGATAGAATATATTATCTCTGACATGAGTATATTGCGTTTTGTACAGCTTTCAATACATGTGACTACATTATTGAAGTGTTGATATTGATAAACAAAACTGGATTTATTGGACACTTTATGTAGATATTTGGGTTATTTTTATTTCGTTTGGGTTATAGTTGGTTATCCGTTGCTACTTTTACGAAATTATTTAAATCAGCTATCTCAACGAAAACAGGGGCAAATCGTAAACTTTCCAACCTCGAAATGATTGAAAAATTCCTTTCCGGAAGAAAATCCAGTACTAAATTAGTTGGTAGGGGAGGTAAGGAATTTATAATAGAAGTAAGTTTTTATTATCGAAATCCAGAACGGTTCAAACTAGATATTTAGGTAGTTTTGCTTCTGTGAATTACACCCTAAATTAAACACTTCTTGTTTCTCATGAGGGATAGCAAGTGTTTATATTTGAATTATTTTCACTCATCTTTTGAACATTAATCAGTCAGGTTTTCCGCAGTACGTACTTTTTAAGTTAAACTTTATAAATTCAATCTGCCCAAAGAGTCTTCAAAATCAAGATATCAACACTAGTGTTTTTCTGTTGTAAATCAATTTTTTTGCTTTATTCAAATGTTGAAATAGCGCAGAATCCATAACAAAATGGCTAAAGGTAGGTGGATCTTGTTTATTGCTTTATGATGGTGTAGCTGATGGCAGCCTAAGAGGGTGCAAGTGATCCTGGACTACTTATTTAGATACGGGCCTGTTTTTTCTAAATTTTACCTCTAAATAAATTAGCTATTGTTCCGTCCGATATATTTCAGATTTTCTGCCGTCCAGCGTCCTTCAGACTATAAGTGGTCCAGATCAAGAATTTAAGCAGACTAACAGTCACTAAATGAGTTTATTGAGAAATAACCGAGGATTGAAGAAATTTTTGGCGGCCTGGATCCCATTTTCCATTGTGCAGAAGTAGATGGCAACCAGTGTTGTAGTTTTTCTTTGATAGCATTTACACTGCTCGCATGTGCAGATCTGTGGATTTTAGTACGCGAATTTTATATAACGGCTTTTTTAAAATTATGGCGCACTCGTATGCTTTAAGATTTTCTTCGGATAAAACAGGTGACTTTTTCAAGTGCTTCTATTCACTAATAATAGCGTTTTCTTATTGACTTAGCGAAATAAAAGGCCGTGGCAGCAATGAAAAAACAAACGGAAGAAATACTGTTAAATACGGATTTTGACACTAATCCTAACCGATTGTTATCAACAGTATTATATAAGAGAATTTTTGAATTATTATTCGAATATTATCGCCACGCTAAGAACATGACTGACTGATGAAAGAAAAGTACTTTAGAGCTAACGGCCCATTCTAACAAACAAAATGAATCGATCAAATTTAGCGATTTTTAGCTGCAATATGCTTTTGAGACATTTAGCTGCAATTAAATATTACTGCTTTTATATGTGAACACGAAAAAAGACACTTAGAGCAAAACCACAAAAATTCGGGTACATTCGGCATTGAAGTCTTCATCAATGTCAACTTTTTCAACTAATATTATTTCATGTTTCAAAAATTCATAAAGTTAATATTCCTTTACGACCAATAGTTAGTAGTATAAATTCACCTACACATCCCTTAGCCAAATATCTTTTAAACATTTTAAATCCCCTAATAAATAACACAACTTCCTATATTAAAAATTCTGAACATTTTTTACAAAAATTATCAGACATAGACATAAATCCAAACCATATTCTAGTAAGTTTTGATCTTGTTAGTCATAATTCACTAACGTTCCTGTTGACATAACTTTAAATGTCATCAAACAAAAATTACAAAATGACACCAATCTTAAAGAACGCACACAACTAAGCATTAACACCATTATTGAACTTTTAACAATATGTGTAAAGTGCTATCTCAACGAAAACAGGGGCAAATCGTAAACTTTCCAACCTCGAAATGATTGAAAAATTCCTTTCCGGAAGAAAATCCAGTACTAAATTAGTTGGTAGGGGAGGTAAGGAATTTATAATAGAAGTAAGTTTTTATTATCGAAATCCAGAACGGTTCAAACTAGATATTTAGGTAGTTTTGCTTCTGTGAATTACACCCTAAATTAAACACTTCTTGTTTCTCATGAGGGATAGCAAGTGTTTATATTTGAATTATTTTCACTCATCTTTTGAACATTAATCAGTCAGGTTTTCCGCAGTACGTACTTTTTAAGTTAAACTTTATAAATTCAATCTGCCCAAAGAGTCTTCAAATATTACTTAATTTTGCAAAACCAATATGTATATACATTTACTTTGTGTCCCATCAATTTAACTAATACTTGTGCCCCAATACTATAAAACGCTAGAATTATAAGAATAGTTCTGAACTTATGATTATCGCTAGTTTTATTGTTTAATAAATACAGTCCGATTCAAAGATTTGGTTTATCTTTCGGGTCGCTTATTATAGTTAAGTATTATTAAGTTGGAAAGGAATGGGGGCAATGTAAGTCCAATTTTTGTAATCGTGTGTCTGCTAATTTGGAATATATCTTTAACATAGCAAGATTCCTGTATCGGAATTAATTGTCTGAAATTAGAGCTGATACGAGTATAGGGAAAAATGTATTAATTTGTATCAAATTAATGGGAATTGTGACTTAACGAGATAAAAAAAAACCGCGGTTAATTAATGCTTGTATCCATGTTATAAAGAAAGTGATAAGATTCTATACTAAAATAATTTACTTACAATAAGGACTAGAGTCGCATGAATTATGTCAATCATATGCGTAGGTAATACTGATAAGTTCATCCAAATAGTTAACGAGGGATATTCAAAAAACACGCTTGGCCATCTTAATGTTAGGACACTTAATGTTAGCAGACTTAATGTTAGGTGTTTTTTTTAATAATCAATTGTGTGTGCTATAAGCCACTCCAAGCTTGTATTGATGGAATAAAAGTTATTTTACATATATGCTTCAGAAATTATTGTAGAGACTATATGTAAAGCGTCGAATTATAGGACTTGCGGCAAAATAATAATTTCATAAAAGCAATTTTCTATCATGAAATTAGAACTATTTCATGAATAACCCTCGGTAATAACTATTCACGTTTTTGCTAATGTGAGCAAATGTATCTACATTAATTTTTCATCGAAAATTACAAATATTTTACTCATTATTGTTACCTGCTTTGCATTACTACTTTAAATACTTGGAAAATCGGCTTTGGTGCGAATCTGTATTATGTTGTATGTTAATATAATGTCTCTTTTCTTTTACGTATTCATTTGCTCACTTAACAGAATAATACCGAACAAAATGTAATTAAATTCACTGAGCCAATTACAGCAAAAATATTTTAAAACTTTAACTAATACACACTAAAAATAAATACAATTTTACTAAAGCAGTCATACAATACTAAACTAGACATTTTGAGATTGAAAGATTCTATAAATTAATTACCGCTCAGTATGTTCCAGATAACTATTGATTTACGATACATATCATTTTTTCTTAACAGGGATTTGATTGATGTTTAATAGAAAATCTGGTACTGAAAGGCCGCATAGTCTATAATGTAGCAACCAACAACGTAACTTCCTAATCTAATGTAGTTAAAACATGTGGTTTTTTAAATGGAAAATTGCAATGAAGATAAATCGCCAGGGCCTCAAAATTCATCTAGTGGTTGAGTTGATTACATTTTACTTGTAATCAAACAGCAAGTCAGGATAGTTGTTCGTTTCAATGCGATCGTCTCTGATATCTCCCTGATCTTCTTCGGACTGGTTAAGCAGTGTCTCGAGTAGTCGGGATTCAGATCTACGTTTGCGACCACTGAAAAAAAAATAGGAAAATTTTACATCGAGAACCGGAATTTTTAAAGTAGATGACTATTATAACTCCAATTAAATAAATAAGCTTCTGCTTTAACTGCATTTTAGTCAGCAATAGGATAGTTTATTTCCAAAGTTTTAGTATTGCGACATGTTAATTTAATTTATTCATTCTCTTGGCACCACCATTACCTTCCGCCTGGCACTGCACAAGATTTACTTACTTACTAGATATATACTAGCAATTGACTGAAGGCAAACTACTAAAATTTAAAAAATGCACCAGACAAGATGAGAGAAGGCGAATGTTCCTTGCACTGCCTTTCCTGGCACAAACACTAAAATACAACCCATAAAGCAGCAATCATTTATATCAATTTGCGCCTCTGTCATATTCCTGAAGTTAAAACAAGAAAATCTGCCAACTATTGAGTTACAATTTAAAGTAAAATACGTAAATATCAATGGGCTCTGAATAAAACAAATAGCATTTCAAATCAAGCGAAAAGAAATACAATATCCACGGAAGTCTTTATTTTATTAAAAAAAATTGAGGATTGATTTCCCAACAATAATTAGTAAAAGGTGATAAGTAACTATTCAACAACAAGCCGAGAAGTAAATATTAAGGTTGCGATGATACTCTTATTGTTTACTGGAAACCTATCAACCTACTAACCTCTAGTTGGCACTAAACTCGCTCGAATATATTTAGATCGGATTTATTTCGTTCACAAACAACACTAATATGATTTCTTTTCCCCAATAACCCGTGCACTACTCACACACAATAAAATTAGATTTGTAAGTTGAAGGTTGTTAATTTCAATTTACTGAATTGGTGGTTGTTAATTAAGATAACAATTATCGCTAGTCTCTCTTTAATTGCCTCTTTTAGTATTGAGTGCATTCTGATTAATTACATTGTATGAAAAACTTTTCATTCGGATTTATTGTGATCAAAATGTGACTTTAGAGCTAATTATTTGTGTGTGTTAAGTAGGAATACTTACATCAGATCCAAATCCCGGACTCCAGCAGCTATTGGTAACGTGATGACAATCCCTTTTGCTCGATTTAAAGCATGTTTGGTTTGCACATTGGCAAAGTGAGCATCTGAGACCCGTTTAACCCTGAAAATGAATGAAGTTTTATATATGGAGCGGTACATACACTTAGAAACAAAACATCAATATATGAAAAAAAATATGTTTGTTTGAAAAGAACAAAAAGCCACTTAAGTCATAGCTTTGTCCAAATTGAATGTATATTGAAATCAAATTAGACTATTATAAATATAATTAATTTTCAATTGTGAATGAACCTTCGATCCAACCAATCCAAAGCAATTTTTCTAAAGTGATTTTTCTTGAAAATTCCCATCAGGAGACGATTCTTCAATTCAGTATTGACCAATACCGAGGCTCGTTAAATATGCATAGGTTATTGGGATAATTGAAAATTTAATTTCCAATCATATCTGCTCGATTTATTTATATCTTATAGCTCTCGGCCACGCCAGTAAGATTGCCGAAGCAGAAAAATTGGTTTCTTTTCCTTGATTGAACAGTGAAAAGAATTGCCCCGATCCAACAATAGGAAAAGTTCCATTCTTTTAATTTGATTCCTTGATGTACAGCAGAGCGCCTTATAAAATTATAAAACGCGTAGGCAACCATAAATTAACACTTTTCACACCGTGTGTTTAATTTTAACCAAAGCGGAAATTAGTTTTTTAGTAACTCCCAGACAAATACATTTCTTTAAAATACAATTCAAGTTAATAACAAGGAAGTTTCATTTATTTCCCAGTTGAATCCAATTCATTCTTAAAATAGCGTTACATTTCAACTTAAATTTGTTTTATCGACAATCGCAATAATATTCCAGAGTTCTGCAGATTTTCCGACGTTAGGTATTTGCTTTCACAGTGAGCTGTTTACACCTCAGTATTATCAGTAAGAACTAGAACAGAAAGGAGCAATGTTTCCAATGAGAGACCCTTATAATGAGGGTAGTCTAGTAAAACATCATTTCAATAGTGTCTTAAACTTGATAGACGATTGAAATCGTTTCTATTATTCCCGTTAATTCGATAATTTATCAAAATTGTGATAGTTTTAGGAGCATTAAGTCTCCAATTCAGTAAAGCTTTCTTCAAAACTAAATGAAATCTTTCCCACAACAAAATACATATTTTTTGTGACGGATGGATTAAATATTATAAAAATATATGTAATAATATAATGACAATTACAGAAGGGAAATCGGTCAAACAAATGGTGAGTCGCATAAAGAACGCAGAAAAGGTTATGGCTACTCTACTTGCGGAAACAAATAGGTTATAACGGGTTATCCAATTCGAGGTTGGGAAAGTAAAACCTTGCTATTTGATATCTGTCAAAGGTAAACGTCATCCGAAGCGTTTTTGTTTTAGGTGAAGGTTTGCCATTTTGGAATATGGATCGTTTAACTCTCGAATAACGCGTAAAAATTATTAAATGTTACTACAAAAATATCGACTCTGCTGTAATCGACCCGCAGACCACACAATTTCGAACACAGTGGAAAAATGTGAAGAGACTGGATCGGTTACTGATATTGTAAGGCCTGTGCATCATCGCAACATTCGCTCAGCTGAAAATATCGCTGTTGTTGCTAAAAGTGTGGAGGAAGACCCGAATTCGTCGATTCCCCGACGTGCTCAACATTTGGGCTTGTCTTACGGCTCATTGTGGCGAATTTTGCAATTGGAGTTGGAGCTCCATCCGTGCAACGTCCAGCTGACTCAAGAACTTAAGCCTCAAGGCCATGGGCAACGCAGAACATACGCAAATTGGGTGGTTGAACAAGAAAGCCGTTGATGATGTTTGTTCGAACCGAATTTTCTTCAGCGATGAGGCTCATTTTTCGCTCGGTGGTTACGTGGAAAAAAAAACAGGACAGAACAGCCGTATATGGGGCTCTCAAAATCCTCAGGTGATCGCAGAAACGCCTTTGCATCCTGAAAAAGTGACCGTATGGTGTGCATTATGGTCAGGTAGTGTTATTGTATGCCCGTATTTTTTTAAAAACGATCAAAGAAGAGCCATAACAGTCAATTGTGAGCGCTATGGACGCATGTTAACCGATTATTTTTGGAGATAAATTAAAGATTATGATCTGGAACACATGCGGTTCCAGCAGGATGGGGCAACGAGTCACACAACACTGGCAGTTAGAGCCCTATTGCAACATTTCGAGATTGAGTAATGTCAATTGGCCCGCAAGATCCTGCGACTTACGTCAGATTTATTTTTGGGGGCTATGCGAAAGATCGTTTTTACGCCAGCAATCCTCAAACTCTTGAGCTACTGAAAAGCCAATACCCGGGAAGTATGACCGAGATAAAGGTAATGTGCCAAAAAGTCATTCATAATTACCTCAAAAGGATTTAGGCCTGTAGGAATTTCCGTGGAGGACATTTAAATGATATTGTTTTTCACGTGTAATGGCAAGGTTTAATCTTTATATTGATTTAGAATTTTCGTCTGCATCTGAATATTTTGTGTGTTTTTTTTTACTTTACTTTCCCAATGATAAAATGAATAACCATGTATAAACAATAAATCACAGAATCCTTATAGCCCAGTCACTATGGACGAGTTACAGGACATTCAACCGAGGGAAACTTATGTTTGGGTAATAAGAAGAAAGCTTCCTCATCAGTTTTACAACCAAATGTCAACCAAATTCATGTCTCAGTAATGCCGCATTACTGAATAAAAAGCCAGATCAAGTTCGATATAGAAACCTCAGAAGAATATAGAGATTTGACACACATTAAAAATGAAGAAAAGCAATATGGCATTCTTGAATGATGAATGAATGAAAACAAACAAGAGAGACCGATCAGAGTAATGCTCAAAAATCTTCAACTATCCTGTAGCACTGAAGAGCTATTACAGGAGTTGAAAGAAAAAGGCTTTAAAACAGTCAATGTTATAAATAAACTAAAGAGAATCACGAGAAACAATAAGAATATATAAAGTTTCCATTATTTTTAGCAACAAAATACTGAAGACGTCAAAAAGGTATTTGTAATACAATATCTAGCCAACTCGAAAAGTATTCCGTTGGTGTATTGAATGTGGATCTAACCATGGCTCTAACTATGGGCCTACACAACATATCCAGCTGAAAATACTCAGTTTCATAAAAATGGAACGAAAGTCCGAGAAGATTTAATTTATTAGGAAAAAGACTAACAATAAAACAATAAAAAAACGGAAATCGACGTGCAGATGACTCATCCAAAGGGACGACCAAGCAAACAACTATATCATCTCGTTAATTCTGTAGTTAGTTGCCTTCGGGAAGTGGTAAAAGCCTCAATATCGCTTGAGTTTTTTTGGAAAACGTCACTAATTACTCAGTGTGTTACGGGAAGGAAACAAGATACGTCACCAGTTCTTTTGATGATTTGGTGCCAATAAGGGCAGTGCGCTAGATCTTCCGTTATCTGCTAACTGAAAGATTAAAGTTTTCAATTCTGAGTGAATTTTTATTGCTTGTTCAAGTGTAGTATGAGCTTTTTGAGAATGAATTTGCAGATAAAGTTGTTGCGCCAGCTCGAAGAAATCTGGTAAGAATGAATTCTAATCTATACATCCTTTGGCATGAACTTAGTACAACAATTTATTTGAGAAGCTACTGAAGCTGCTGTTATTTTTTATTTGACTTGATCTGGTCTGTTATTTTCAAATAATTAAACTTTTAACTAAGTTTCTGTAATACTAAAGCATGCAATTTTTTTTCCTTTTAGGTGGCACCATGTAGATTTCGGTTTAGTTTAGCATTACTTTGCTCCTGGTTGCCATGTAGATGTAAAGCTTTTAGTCCCATATTATTGACTTATTACGTATTTTCTCATATTGCTGCATGCCATATTTATTCGACAAGGAACGACGAGGGACATTCTGGATTCGTGATTGAATTTTAAAAATGTTTGAATTTTCTTTTTCTAAAATAAATTTAAACTCATATCATACATTAACAAATGAGGTTCTCTACAGAAGACTCTTTTGATATGTACAACTGTTAACGTTCTGCTGTGAACTATACGCTTGATCATACTGATAGGTAATTTGTGTCACTTGCATGTTTTTTCTTCTATAATTACACCCTCAACTGAACTGTTCTTGAATTCTCAATTCGATTTTTTAAATTAAAATTAATTTTCCCACGATTTTCAAAAATTGACTAGCCTAATTCTCTCAAGTGGACTCTTATTTATTATTATCTAAACCTCTAAATTTAAAACACTCTAAATATAAAATTAAAGTCGTTGCTGTAGTGCTGTTAAATACCCTTTATATTGTCATCTAAGGTAATTATGCACATTATAAGTAATCAGTCAATTCTGTTTTTTTTTTGGTATTTGTTATGTTCCGGCCGATCTGGATCTCGTAGCGTTTTTTTTTGCAGTAATGCCTTCTACTATGACTGATCGATGCTGGCAAGTCCACCATTCTCCCATTAGGTAGTATAAGCAGATACAAGATAGAATATATTATCTCTGACATGAGTATATTGCGTTTTGTACAGCTTTCAATACATGTGACTACATTATTGAAGTGTTGATATTGATAAACAAAACTGGATTTATTGGACACTTTATGTAGATATTTGGGTTATTTTTATTTCGTTTGGGTTATAGTTGGTTATCCGTTGCTACTTTTACGAAATTATTTAAATCARCTATCTCAACGAAAACAGGGGCAAATCGTAAAYTTTCCAACCTCGAAATGATTGAAAAAWTCCTTTCCGGAAGAAAATCCAGTACTAAATTAGTTGGTAGGGGAGGTAAGGAATTTATAATAGAAGTAAGTTTTTATTATCGAAATCCAGAACGGTTCAAACTAGATATTTAGGTAGTTTTGCTTCTGTGAATTACACCCTAAATTAAACGCTTCTTGTTTTCTCATGAGGGATAGCAAGTGTTTATATCTGAATTATTTTCACTCATCTTTTGAACATTAATCAGTCGGGTTTTCCGCAGTACGTACTTTTTAAGTTAAACTTYATAAATTCAATCTGCCCAAAGAGTCTTSAAAATCAAGATATCAACACTAGTGTTTTTCTGTTGTAAATC